GCCACCTAACCAAGATCGGCCCGAGATCGAGGGTCTGGAAGGCCAGGGCCATCAAGATCAACCCGAGCTCGAGGGTCCGGATGACCAGGAGCATCAAGATCAACCAGAGTTCGAGGGTCCAGACGACCAGGGGCATCAAGATCAGGGCCCAGATGACCAGGAGCTCGAGGATAAACGTGAGATCCCGAGCGGGGGAGGAGGCAGTCCTGGTGATCACGACTCCCCTCCTCCGGACCACAGTCCTGCGACACCTCCTCCCTCGCCTTCGCCGGGTCGCTGTCCCACGACCCCCTCCTCCTTCACCTCCCAGGTCTCCTGGCGGAAGCCCTGGTGGTGGTTCTCCAGGGGGTGGCTCCCCAATACAGCTACATCCACCGTTATTTCCCGCTGAGGCCAGTATTCCTCATTATTCTGATCTCAAGCTCTTCACGGCGGCCGAGATCTAGCCGTGGGACCCGACCATCGTGGGAACAGTGCCGACCATTGCCATGATCCAGGCCATTTTGACGAAGCGGATGCCGATCCCGGCCAATTTCCTGTTTCCCTACTGAGTCCCTCCTGTTCGGGCTCCCCAACCCGTGGTTACTGCTCGGGGTTGATCACCGGTGTGGTGCCAACGTTTTAGCTCCTATGGCCACAGAGCCGTGGCGCATACTTGGCCGGCGTCGCCCCACTCCCTTGACTTTCGATCAGAACCTTCATCGGCGAGCGGAGACCCCTCTATGGCGGATCGCTGTGGCGTATGCGGCCCTGGAAGAAGATCACATGATTGCATATTGGGAATCGACCCATTATCTCAAGATCACGTCGGTGATGGCCGCCGCCGACTCAGATCTCTTCACCTACCACCAAGATCGGCGTCAGCGACGGATCCGGGCTGGAGAGAGTTGGAGGAAGCTGTTGGGAGACGTGGTGCTAATGATGCGGGCTAAGTGAGCCGACATCGACATCCTGCTGAACCCCTATTTCCTCCACCTACCGACGAAGCAGGATCGGGTGCGTTGGTATCCCGGATCGGTCTCCCGGGCGGCCAATCTCGCACAACCGACAGCGAATCTCCCCGAGCCGACTGACTTGATCACGGCCCTGTTCGAGTGCGATCAAGCAGATCCCTGGAGGAATCAACTACCGTGATCCCGGGTCTGTTCATCCGTCGCGGAACATCCCTCGCCTCGTGAACAAGTTCAATCCTCCGGCAGCCCCTCCGGTAGCCCCTCCGGCGGCCCCTTGATCGCCGATCTGGCCTCCACTCTTCGCCCACCTCTGAGATCACCGATTTTCTCCCCAACACCCCGTTTCGTCCTGGTCGATCGCGTAATTTCCTAATTCAGCCACATCTTCTGCTCGTTTGTTCTTTTAGTCGCCTTTCGCGAGTGATCTCTCTTCCAACTTCCCACGTCTTCCGTGATCTCTGACGACGGCTTCTATATGCATATACACAACATGAATTCCCGATCTCAGCCCGATCTCAGTCACTCTGACCGATATTTCCTCGGGATCGAGGCGATCGGGTAACCTCACCCCGTCCTCCTTACATCTCTTCATGTGATTGCATCACATTGAAGCGATTCCGATTGGCCCGTTCTCGCAGGAAGGCGTTCAATATTGCCCCGCAGTTGAGATCAGCTTCGTCGACTCAGGTTGACTCATCATATCTTGTCCAATGAAGGAGGAATTCCCGATAGATCCGACCAAATCGTGTCTTCTTTCCACTCCGCATATCAGAAATCCGCTCGACTTCATACGCATCGGCCCCTAGATCAGGGACCCGGCTGTCCTCCAGAAGCATGATCTCGTCAAAATCGAGACGATCCGCCTCCTCTACCGTAAGTTCCGCTCGCGGACGATCCGGAAAATCCTTGACCAATTTCAACTTCGACACGTGTACTACTGGGAAGATCTGATACCTGGTGCCTGCGATCTCGAGTTTGACGGCACACGGAACGGCCCGTGCCAAAGGTGGGCCAACTTCCGCGCGTACCCTTCCTTCACTCGATCTAAGTATAACCAGACACGGCATCCGCCCTCGATCTGATGTGATCCGACGTCCTCGTTGTGTCGGTCAGCTCGATCTGCGATGGCCTGCTTCAATCTAGTATTGACTTGTTCCCGGGATTGTTGATAGTATCGCTGGACTCGATATCGCTATCGTCGCGCGTCTCGACCACGCCATCTCGCACATCCGACCGACAGTGTAGCCTCCAATGTCGTTCTCGGATCCCACCCATGTACCAAATAGTGAGGGTTATCTCCTCGGATCCGATCGTGAGCCGTGTTGATCGCGAAGGTGAGGCGCTCAGCATATTCATCTCAATCCTTCTAATCAAGATCGCGGACGTACAGCTTGAGCGATCTGGTCGCGGTCTGCACCATTCTCTCAGCGTCCCGTTAGCCTGTGGACGATATGCCATCGTCGCTCGCTGCCGTTGTCGCAAGATCTTGTTAAACGCCCGGAAAAAATCGGACATGAAGCCGGGTTCTCGATCATGTCGAATCATCTCACTGCCACCGAATCGCCGAAATACACACTCCTCATACGATTCTGCAACCGTCTGGGCCGATCGAGACGAGCTGGCTTTCGCGATCACATATCCCGTGAACAGATCGACCCAGATCAATATCTCAGTGTTTCCTTTGTGTGATCTGGGTAGCGACGGTATGTGATCCATCGCAATGATCTGGAACGGGTATGTCGCCTGCAAGTTTCCAGGTGATTCGCCCCGGATCACCGGTTTCCCTTTTCCTGTTTCGCAATCCACGCATTCCCTCACATATCGCTGGACGCTTCGGTATAATCCTCTTCAATGGAAGTGATCCCTGATCCACTGGTAGGTTCGTCCCACTCCCTGATGTCCTCCTTCCAACGTGGTGTGATAGTGATGTAAGACGTCCGGTTGCAACGTTTCGGGGACTACCAATCTCATCAATCGGTCTCGATCGTCTCCCGACCTCGGCGCGGGGGGTAGTAAAACGTAGATCCTGCTCGTCCACCTCGTAGTCAGTCGCGATCTTGCCGTACGATCTTGCTTCCGCTTGGGTGAGATCTGCGATCGAGCCGCTCAGATACCTCTTCATGCCGGCAATCCAGACTTCCTCCTCTTGAGCCTGCTTAATCCGATCGATTCGGATTTCGCGGATCAAACCCTCTTTCATGACACCCGCCGGTGGTCTTGCTCGACCAGCTCGAGTGGCGACCGCAGCAACTCGCACCACTGGATTCTCGGTCTTGGGGATCAAGATTTCGTCTAACTGGTTCAAGGTGACCAGATCCTGGTACCCGGAGCCCTCCTGGATCTTGATCCCCCTTTGTCGTTGCAAAGCGGCGCATGCTAGACTGTCGGCACTTCCGTTCCAGTCCCTCTTGACGTGCACCAACTCATGATCCCTCCATTTCCTCAGGCGATCGAGGGTTTTCCGCTTCAATAGCGTCAGTCCGTCGATCTCACCCCGTACTTGTCGGATCACTAAGTTGGAATCACCGCAGACCACCAGGCGTCTGCGATCTAGGTCCTCTAGCATGTCTAACCCCAGGATCAGGCCGTTATATTCTGCTTCATTCACGGTGAGGCTCTCAAGATAGCCTGATCTGGCCTTGACCACCTCCTATCCGGGCAGACTCCACACGATCGCACTGAACGCGGGCTCTCGAGATAACCTGATCTGGCCTTGGCCACCTCCCATCCGGGCATACTCTACACGATCGCGCTGAACGCGCCACCACCCCGCTTAACTCGGGCAGATCCGTCAAAGCTGATCACCCATAATTTCTCGCCTCGATCTACAGTGGGTATCGGTGCCTGGATCCGGCGTTTAGGCTCTTTTCGGGGAGCGATTTCGGTCAGAGCGTCGTCGATCTTCGTCCTCGGCGTGATACTAGCAGCGATCGCCCCCAGTATCTCTTCCTCACCCTTCGCGCACTTCGTGATCTCGAGTGTCCAAGGGGCCAGAAGGGCAGACCATTGTCCCAGGCGGCCCTGTAACCCCGTCGACTTGAACAGCCAGGCCAACGTGGAGTACCTCGTCAGGACCCGGATCTCGCGTCCTACCAGCAGATTGTAATAGAGATCCAAGATCCTCAGCAGCGCCAACACCTCCTTCTCCGTCACATTGTAATTCAACTCGTTCGTCTTTAAGGTGCGACTGGTAAACGCCACCGGATGATAGATCCCGTCGTGTTCTTGCGTCAACGAAGAGGATATCGCCCAATCACTGGCATATACGATAACTACCGGTGTTCTCGTCTCGTCGAGGTGGCGGAGGACTGGGGTCGTCGCGATCTTGGTTTTCAGGGTAATGAAGGCCCTATGTGCCCTGATCCACCTCTCGTCCACTGGTCCCGTCAACTTCCGTTCCGGTGGGTCCTGATCTCGAGGGCTTGGGTCATTCCGGTGCAAGATCTCCCTCAGATCCGATCGTTTCTCCAGTTCTGCAAACCCCACTTCACGTAGTTCGTAGAGTACCGAGGCATAGATAGCGTAATCTTCGATGAATCGGCTGTAGTAATTTAGACTGCCCAGGAATGACTGCATATATCGCAGTGATACGGGGAACGGCAGATCGGTTAACGATTTCAGGTCTTTCGGGCTCACCTCCAAACCTCCGATCGACACTCGGTGTCCCAGATATCCCACCTTGTCCATGCCCAAAAGCTCTTGGCTACACTGATCGACAATTTCCACTTATCACAAGCTTCCAACAGATCTTCCACTCTTCGGCACATTTGATCCCATGATTCGGCTGCGATCATGATGTCGTCGATGTGTGATCTCCGTCCCAACACCGACTCGCGATCAGGATCGTCCGCGATACCGGTCCGGAACACGTCCGTTGTAGACCCAGCGTCGCCGGATCGCGAGATCTTCCAAAATCCATACAACGCGTTGTCCACGAGGCGCTGATACATCTGAGGGGCGTTCTTAAGGCCAAAATGCATGCGACTTCATTCGAATAGTCCAAACGGAGTAATGAATGCTGAGATCTCGCGAGCCCGATCCGTCATGAGCACGACCCAGAAACCGCTGGCCATATCTAGCGAGCAGTACTATAGTGCTTTATCAAGATCTTCTAGCAGATCGCTAATCAGGGACATAGGGTAGACCATCAATCTCGTGAGGCTGTTCACCAACTTGTAGTCAATGCACAACCTGATATCTACGCCGTCGCTCTTTGGGAACAATCACGATCGGCGAGGTCCATGGCGATGTTGAGGGTCGGATGATCTCGGCTGCCAGGAGACCCTTGAACAGGCCTGCGACTTTCTCGCGGAATCGCGTGGGCACTTTCCGAGTTCGCAGTGCGATCGGTTTCACGTTTCCGACATCGATATCGCGTACGACGCGTTTGGCTTCCGGGGGTAAGGCATTCCCTTTGCCGATCAGCAGATGGCGCTTCTTCCAGATTATCTGCCGGAGTTTCTCGATCTCCTCGGGTGTGGCCGATCCGGAGTCTCCCACCTGCAGATCCTCAATGCTCACCTTCGCAGTCGTCGAGATCGGGATTTCGGGGAGGACAGCCAGGTTTCCTTCAAGAGCTTCGGCTGAGATATTGCCACTGTCATGGTAGTATATCTCCTCCTCGCCCTCGGCATCGTGTGGGGTGATCGCTGTGGCTCCTTCTGCTGGCTGATCTTGTTGTTTGACGCCCTCAGTAGTGTAATCGGGAGCTTTGCGTCGGGTTCTTCGCCGGGATCGAGTTTGATCTGGCCTTGATCGAGTTGCATCTGGGTTTGCTTTTCCGTTTTCGGCTCGATATCCTTGGTGTCAGTCAGATTTCCCGTCTTGATGTCCTTGGTGTCCGTCCGATCGGTGGCCTGGTCCGGGATGTTCTCCCTTATCCCGCCGCCCTCAGCATTGCCGCTCAGGTATTGATCGGCATCGGGGCTAGTCGTTGGCGTAGATGGGCATCCTCGTCCCGGATCGGGGAATTCTGCCTCGTCCTGAGTTGCGTCGGCCTTTCCCGCCTTCGGTCGAGATTCTAGGGTCAATATTCTTGTTCGATCTCGGCAATGATCGATCTCTGTCGATCTCATCGGATTCCGGCCGACGGAGTATCGATCGTGGCGTGGAATACGATTGTCGTGGTACTGCCGGTTCCGCAAGGTCCTCTATGGATTCTGGGGATTCCGATCTAGTGCCAGATTCTGCCATTCTCGGTAGCGACGTGACCCGACGGACACGAATCCGGTGACCGGGGTACCTTGTCCTGATCCAGTATCATACCAATGTGACGAAGTGGGTGAACACTTGACCGCCCAAAGGTGTATAGCGTGCCCTGAACGGATTCGAACACGAAGTCGTTCAGGTAGTACAAGACTCGGGCTGAAAACTAGTTCCAGTCCGGGTTGGCGTGTGCCTTGCGTCAATCCCTAT